CAGCCAAGTAATGTAGAGATCCTCCGACTCCGACTGAATAACACTTCTCCGGTCCCTGGCCCAGTCGTCAGTCAGACCTTACTGCTCAGCCCATATGTCCGTCGGACATTGTACCACGCCTTCCCTCGACGTGGCGCGAGCGGCATTTACCCATCCCTGACAGGAACACGGACCCAGGGCTTTCACCAACGACATGTTGATCCTCGAGTTCCCTGCATCCATCCCACGGGGCCTTTCCACCCAGTCGTCGCCCCGCCAAGCCAACGGTGGATTCCTGGAACTGACGCTACTGCGACTTGCGCGTTTCTTGCTTCTTCTTCTTCACCGTTCCCCAGCCTGACCAACCATGCGGTCCTAGGTTCAGCCTGAATCTGTGGTTCGCTCTTTGAGCCCCTGGCGTCTGGCCCCCGGTCCCCGGTCCCCTGTCCCCTGACGCGCCCCCGGCTCCTGGTTGACGTTCTTGACGTTGTATCGAGTGACAGGTAGGGCCAGTCCAGTTCAGCTCAGCCTTCCCCGTCCATGTGCGATAAACGTGGTGGAATCAACCGGCTGGAGACACATGTGGGAGGCAAGGCGGCGGTGGTGCATTGCTGACATGTCACCAGGCCCCCTGAGATCCGACTACGTGACGACGCACGAGTCGCATCAACGCAACAGCGAACAGACACGGGGGCGCGACTTGTATCTTGATGACGCATACCGGCCGACGAGATCCCCCCAATGCCTCCCTCCAATGCCACGCCACACTCGAACCCTCCTCATCTCTTTTCCCCAAGGTGCCACCCCTGCCCTCCCGCACCCACGATCGATCCCCTAGGATGGATGGATGGATGGATGGATCCCAGTCTCTGGGCAGACCACTGCTTTCCCGTACTGGCGCATTGGCCCGCCTGGTTTTCCAGCTCCCCATCCCATCTCCACTCAAATAAGACATCCCCGTTTATTTACCAGTCTCGTGGAAGCCGGATGCGGTGCTGGTCGTCTTGCGCCTCGACAGGTAACGATCACACATCTCCGGTGTCGATTCTTTCGACGCTAGGGCTTTTTGCCATTGGCTTTTCGCATCTTCTAGGTCTCATCACGCCAGCCGCTTGTCATCGGCCTTGCCACATCTGGCAATCTGCCTTGCTCTCTCAACTTCTTGCCCGCCAGGCCTGCTGCCGCACAGGCTGCCGCACAGGCTACCGCAGACTCTAGAGGAGCATCAGGCGCCTTGCTGTGGCCGATCCCTCAACGATGGACGCCTCTTCTGCACTGGTCCCGAAACCCGGGAGGTACAGTACCTACATTGGTCTACATGGTAGAGTACCCTGTCAGTCAACGAAGCAGGCAACCTTCACTTTCGGGAAACGCCACCGGGCTGGTTGCAGCTAGCTTGGCGGTGATCAAACTCGTGGCATCGAAAGAGCTCTGAACGGAGGACCTTCCGGACTGACCCCTTGCTGGCCATCTCCCCCTAGTCTGTCCTGGGCAGTCAGGCCCGTCTGACCTGTCCGGCAACCCAATGACTTGACGGGGGGGCCGATTTCTGCATGGTACATCACACTCCATGCACGTGTATCTGATATCAACCTTGTTATTCCAGACGTCGTACGGCACACCTTCCGCCCAGAACGCCTCATCCATTCCCGGGCCCTTGCTTCCAACTGTGTCTGCTCGTGGACTTGGTCTGTACCCTTGCGGAAGACTCGCCCCAGTCGAGGCTGTCCCCAGAACAGAGCCGTTCATATCATGGTCCCTTGGGCTAAGATTTCCCGATCGCGGCCTGCAGATAACGTCCCCCTCCCTTGCGTTAACACCGTGGCCCAGGAGGCGGTGGCGCTTCTTCCCTCCCTTGTGAAATTGCCAAGGTGTACCGGTATTCCGTATTCCATTCCTCTGCGCAACAGTCGTGGGACTGTCTCTCCCGGCACTGGGCACGCCCACTCCACTCGAGTGACTATGCTGCCTCACCTGCTTGGACCCCTAAGCATCGTGACCTTGTCCCGAATTTTGGCCCCTGACGACTGCACCTGGTATCGTCCTCGATATCAAAGTTCTTGACTGCCGCATGGCCCGAGGTTAACCCCCAACCCCCTTCAAACACCCAGAGATCTGAGTCAGGAAGGAAATCATGTTTCCAAGCCACTTTAGTCCAAATGTTATCATCGTCTTCGGGCTATTTCTGCCGATTCCTTACAGCGGTGCCACTAACAAATCACGAAATAGATACATCCTAGCCTGCTTGTTTGGAAACCTGCTTGTCGGGAACTTCCTTCGTGGTTGCAAGCTGGCCCACAGAACGGGTTTGTGCCTAGCAACTCCCTGTCCAGGCCCCTTCTGGACTACCCGTCCGCATCACACATGGTTGTCGACAGGCCTGCCCAGCAAGCCATCTACATGTATCATCCTTGGCTGCTCACGGGGCTGCATGTTGGGCACCTGCCAGTAACACGCCAAGGTCGCCCCCTCCACCGACTATTACCTATTGTCTCGAGATCAACGAATAATGCATGAGTAACCGGACGGCACATTTTGAGGGTAGACGCATGATTTTACACCTGGACCCCGCCATTATCCTCGTCGATATTACTGGCCGGCGGATTGCTGGCCATTGCATCGATGAGCCAAAGCACAGCTTCCAACTTGACGGGTTTCCCGTCGTCGTATGCCGTATAGGACCCTTGACTTCTGCCGATACGGCGGTCCGCCAGGAAGGTACGTATTTCTGAGCCAGACTCGCGCGCGCAGCAGCACGTCCCAAGCCTACCTAGACATCTACCCCACTACCTACCTGTAGTGGCCGTGTTATTTGACCATCGCCCCCTTTTCCCTGCCTGTCCAGACCCCCCCGCCAGTAGCGCTAATCCCGCCAGCAGATCGCCGACTAGACTCCTGCCGCTCATCGGGCAGCCTCATCAGTCGTGGCGATCATCCCACATAGTGTCCCAGCAAGGATCAACCCCACCGGTATGGTACACCACGCTCACCACTCTGGACGGCTTCTTCCAGCTTGGATCTGAGAGACCACGAGCTTTAAACAGGCCAGGCCCTCATTGGCGCAGGGATATTCCCAAGGACCAGGTGCTTCCCGTCTTGACGTTTTCTTCACACCAAGATCATTTTTCTGAGATCGTTCCTCGTCTCTGCTTTTTCACTGATTGGTTCACGAAATTTAACCAACTCTTCCTCGCCAGCTACCGCTCCTAATCCTTGCCACCGTGGGACTGGTTTCTTGAATTACTTACTCTTTTTCCTTTCTTCCCTTGGCCTCGTACGAAACCGTCTGTCAGCGTCGCTCGAGCCAATGATCCGGCTGCTAGAGATTCGCTTTCTCCCCTGATTTCTGTCGACCATTTTCCACCGCTCGACGTTGCTCCCACCATCCGTGGCTCAAGCTTGGCAGACGACGCGGGGACTGGGCAAGGCCACCTGGTGTAGGAGGGTGAGTCTGCGTGGTGGGCCACTCAGACTGATTTCCCTGATCTACCCTGTCAGAGATCTATCACTCAGCGCAAGGTGGACTGCCTGATAGAAGCCTCCAGCGCCCCGGTCTGCCGTGATCATCATCAGCCGTCCACCATGGGTGATTACTACCACCACTTCTTGACCTCCATGGCTGGAGTGGTGAGCAATTTGGACACAAGCACCGGGGAAACGCAACTCCAGCAGTTTGGGGATTCCCAATCACCCGTGACGCAGTCACCACTGCATGGTCCGATCCCACCTGCATTCCAAAATTTCGGATATTTCACGGACTACTCTGAGAATGTGCCATACGCTGCACCCAAATCACAAAAAAGCCGGAAGAAGTCTGCACATGGTGTAGACCATGTCAAGCACAGGCGCACACGTTCCGGTTGCTTTACCTGCCGGAGCAGGAGGGTCAAGGTCAGCCTTCTCCCGCATTCATGTGCTTGATGGTCTCCTAATAGTTTGCCAGTGTGATGAAACACGACCAATTTGCGATCGTATGGCTCCCGACAGGTGCAATATACCCATGGACAAGCTGACAATATCTAGGTTGCCGGAAAGGGACACGCGAATGCCTTTACCCAGATCCTCCACCCGCCAAAGGTTCCCCAGCACCGAGCACCACGTCGAAAGACTCGGGCAGCATCAAGCAACAGGCAAGCCCAACCTCATCGCACGAAGCAGAAGATGTGGACGACGATGTCAGCCGGAGCACCAAGCTCGAAACAATTCCAGATGAGGATGAAGACGTCAACCAGATTCCGAACTTTTCTGAACGACCGACATGGTCGCGCGCGACATCGACGGGGACCTCCATCAACCAAATTTCGCGAGCTACACGGCAAACCTCGGAATCGCCGTCTGCGGACGGTAATGTGAGCTCCCCATCAAACTCGACCAGGACTAGCAGCACACATACCGCAACAACACCACTGGCCGTGGATAACCCGACCCTCTCGACCACCTCGTTTCCCGACTGGACTCACCTATCTCCAGGTGTACAGCGGTACATGGACTACTTCTACAAACATATGGATCACCACAACTATTGTATTGTGCACGATGGCGACAACTTCTTCCACGGCATCCTACCAAACTTTGCCTTGCAGAACGAAGCGCTCTTGAATGCTATTGTCGGATTCTCAGCCTATCTTTACTCGCTGGAGCACAACCCCAACGGCAAGATGTGGGAGTTTCTCCAGTACTATAACAGGGGCGTGACGCTGTTGCTGGCCTCCTTAAAGAGGAAGGAGAAGCCAGATATTGGAACGCTCCTTACGATCTTGCAGCTAGCCACTATTGAAGTAAGATCGCTCATCTTCTAGCTGGAGATGACCAATAGCTAACAACAGATTGAAGGAGTACCTTGGTGACTGGATCAACTTGATGGGGCATCAGAGGGCAGCTTGCGACATCATCACCAGGCTTTTCACCCCGCAGACAGCCGTACAAACCCCCTTGGGGAGAATGGTTCTCACGTGGTATTCTCGGTTTGATACCTTTGTAGCTATGATGGGCGGCTTTCCGACTGCGCTTGGGCAAGAGTGGTTCACACACCACATCGACTATGCACGACATCAGCAATTGTCTTCCGACGAGGAGCAACGTTCTTTCCACTGGAAAGCAGAGACACAATACGCAGGTTTGCGCTTGCTCTCCAGAGAGATGTCTATGCTATATGCCCGAATCACCAGGGGGCAGATGACACCGGAGGAATTCGAGACGGCTCATGCGCAGACGTTGCAGCGACTTCGGGACTGGAAGGTCCAGCAGGACGCCGAACTTGAGGACCCGGCAAGCCTTGTTACAGACTTTTCTTGGGCACCAGTACCTGACGAAGCTGATATTGTCAGCCCCTTCTCGCCGGGAATGCTCTACGATCACCCGAAATTGTCAACGACGTTTTTGACCGTCATCTGGCTGTCCATGATCATCATGCACCAATGCCAGTCACCCACTTCGGACCGCGATCGGTTGTATAGCGAGCTAGCAGGCCACGCATACCACGTATGCACGATCTTCGAGCTGATCCATCATTGGCCCAACAGCCCAAAAGGTGGTCTTCTACCACTGGAAGCGCCCCTTGCCATCAGTGCGTTGTTCGTCCCGCAGGATGCGAAGCACCACGTGTGGTTTAGGCGCAGGTTTGCTTTAATGGAGACAAAGGGGTGAGACTCGATCGACTTCTGCCTTCTCCAAACCAGAATCTGCCGCTAACAATCACTGTCTTACAGATATATCCATCCTGTCAAGGTGCGAAGCCAGATGGGCGTACTATTTGGTGCACCTGAATGTGAGCGTTGGTGGCTACCCAACGATGAGGGGTTCAGTCCTCTGCTCCAGGCGATTCGCAACCTGGCTGACGAACGTAACGCTACCGCCATCAATGCGCAAGAGGAAAATCTGCGCGATGTTCGACACATCTTCACTAAAATGCAGTTGGCCGAAGGTCAACAGACGACGTAAGACGACGTAAGAGGGGTGCCGATGTCATTTACTTCTTGAATGACTACAAACTTCCAGGCTGTGCTTGGAGAGGCGCCATGACGATGACGATGCATAGACACGCATACCTGCGTGCGGTGGTGTTCAAATGAGCAATAGAGAAATGCTGCGTCAACTGCATTGCCCACAAGTGGCTGGATATTATTTGCAAGGGAACCCTGCCAGCTCGCCTTCGGGGGAAGGGGGGGATATGAGACGCTAGAAACATCTTGTGCGAGATCAAGGGTTGCAATTGCATAGAGCATCTCATCATGATCCTGCAGAAGATGAGGGTATGAAATATACTAGGCTAATAATGATGGCGGACGGGGAAATGACCTATGCATGAGGAATATCATGTTACTGATTGCGACCCAGCTCTGATGCGGGTGAAATTTTGGTGTCGTCGCATTACAATCATCTACAGACAAACATACATGAAAGTGCATCCCGGGGCATGGAGTCACGGCTTGAATCCTCTGATACATTATGGTAGACTGGCTTACTCACGCCTCCTTTGTAGGCTCTTCTTGGCTGTCCTTCTGCGTCTTTGCATCTTCCGTGCTCTCCTCAGCGACGCTGTCCACCTGCGCCTCCGCTTTCTCGGCCTCCTCTGCCGCAACTAGCTCCTCGTCCTTGACCTTCTCCGGCTCTGTGTCTTGGGTATCTTCCGGCGCCTCGGCTGTCGAAGCGGCCTCCTCCACGGCCTCCTTGGTGAACTTGTGCGTGCTGGACCCCGTCTCCTCCTTCATCTTCTCCTCCACAGCCGCGGGGTCCTCGACCTTGCCCTGCGCCTCCTGCAGCTCGCCCGCCGGTTCCTCGTCCGCGCTGTCGGCCCTGTCTTCGGCCGTCGTCGTTGTTGTCGTTTCCAGGGCCGATTTCTCCGCGTCCACGGACTCAAGCGCCGCCTTGTCCTCCTCCGTTATGGGCGCGGTTTCAGAGAGCAGCGCCTCGGGCTCGACGGGCGCAGCGCCGGCAGGCTCGGTCTCTGGACGCGCCGCGTCCTCCTGCTGCGGCTCTGATGTGGGCGGGGCGTCCTCCTCGGGTTCGGCTCCGAAGTGCTCGACGATGGTGCGGTCGTTCTCCGGCGGCGAGGCGGGGGGCGAGGCGTCGTCCATGACCTCCTGGGCGACGATGACGGGGACGTCGGCCGTCTCGGCCTCCTCGGCGATATCAGGGGCTGCAGAGATGCGCATCTCACGCAGGCGGCTCGTGACGTCGTGGTCCTCCTCGTCCGTTTCGAGGACGGTGGTGACGGCGCTGCCTGTGGAGGGGCTGGCGCGGATGTGGCGGCGCGTGTTGGTGCGGCCGATGGACTGGTAGTTCTCATCGGCGGCGGCGCCAATGTCGTCGTGACCGCCGCGGGATGGGGGCTTGGCGATGGAGATGGCGGCGGGTTGCTGATGGTGGTTGGTGCTGTTGGTGTTGTTGTGGGGGTGGTGCTGCTTGCCGCTGGCGCCGCCTCGCTCGTCGTCGTCGTTGCTGGGGTCGGAGGCGGCCGCATTCGTCTCGAGGCCCTCGGCCTCCGGGGGCAGCTTGTAGTTCTCGGCGGGCAGCAGGTCGTACATGTCGCAGACGGTCTTGAAGAAGACGTAGAGACCGGTCTGGCCCTCAATGTTCCAAAAGACGGCGCGGTGCTGGAACCAGGCGTGGGCGAAGATGCGATGGAGGCGGCGGAAGACGTTGACAAGGTTCTTGACGGCGACGCTCTTGTTATGGGCGTCAGAGGAGACGACAAAGCGCGAGGGAAAGATCTTGGGGTCTGTGACGACGTTGGCAGCCCAGTCGAGGGTGTGGCAGCAGTAGTCGATGGCGCAGCAGCTCTTGGGCTGCTCGTGGACGGCGCAAAGAAATTGCCACTCGGAGGCGCGCATCTCGGGGCAGGTCGAGGCGCTGCAGGGGGGCGCGTCGAAGAGGAAGCCCACAATGAGTGTGTTGCATTGGGAGATGAGGAAGCGGCACAGCTCGTAGAGCCACAGAGTGCGGTCGATCGAGGGCGGTGGCGTGGCGAGCTGGATGGCGGTCTGACGGGTTATGCCATGGGCGCCGCCGTTGGTGTGGAAGTGGTGGAGAGCGGCGAGGTGTTCCTGGAGCTGAAAGGCCGAGTCGAGCTGTTGGAAACAACATGTTAGAGCTTGAGATATAGAGGACAGAGATCGCGCAACCACTTCAGGGGGGGCTGCTGATAGAGAAAAGGCTTTGCGATGCAACGAACCTCGTTGAGGGGAACCAGAGGAGGGCCTGTTGCCATGTCCTGGGCTTTCGTGCCGGGATGGATTCGACGTTTCGCATTTGCCTCCATAATACTCTTCTCAAGCTGCGCGGCCTGGCGATTCGCTTGTGCGCCCATGGATGGCGACGGAGGGCCGATCTGATCTTCGGCGGCTGGAGGAGGGCTCGGAAGCCGGGGGGAGGGCGGCGCCGCCAAGGCCATTGCGACGGTGAATGTGCTGCAGGCTATGCCAGATTGTTTTCCGTGTACTTCTTTTTGGAGGATGGAAGCTATGTACAGCGACGCGGGTAGATATCGTGGGCACAGGGACAAAAAGTTGTCGTGATGTTAGTAGGTGGTTGGTGGAGGAGGCGCCAATTCAAACGATGCTGCAGCAACCAGCTACCGCCAGCAACCAGGAGGCAAGTGCACACAGACACACCTAGGCAGGGGCAGGGATCCGTCGCAACGACTTCCTTAGTCAGCAGCACCACGGCCCCCGCCATGTCGGCACCCACCTACGGCGTCATACGCCCTGTAGCTGTAGCTGTAGCTGTAGCTGTAGCTGTACTGTAGAACAGGCCTGAGTTAAGCCGCAGAAAGGCGACTGACTGGATCCAAGTTGAATGACGGTAATCCAACACGAACCACTGCTTTCTCGTGAAAAAGCGAGACCCTGTTATTTCTTCCCTCATCAAGAAACTCACACGTCACGCCGCTATCACTGTCTGCCCCCCTGCCTATATCCTGGAGCCTGTACCTGCAGCAATCCGTCCTCGCACCTGTCTTTGCACTACCCCGCCATCATGAACTTTGACGATGATGCCCCGCCAGATCTGGTCGAGACTCAGACTCAAACCCCGTCTCAGGCGGAGCCGTCACTGAGCACAGGGACGCAGGACGATCTCGAAGAGAAACGAATCAAAGTCCCAATCACCATTGTCACTGGTTATTTGGGTGCTGGCAAAACTACTCTGTTGAATTACATCTTGACCGCGCAGCATGGCAAGAAGATTGCCGTCATCATGAATGGTTTGTTGCGTGCTGCCGGTCAAATTTGGTTGGACCTGTGCTAACGATGCCAACAGAATTTGGCGACTGTAAGAAAACGAAGCAACGAGTGTAGCCATGTCACTTTCTGACCAGTTGTAGCCATTGACATCGAAAAGTCACTTACCGTCAACAAAGGGGACGAAAAGGTTGAAGAGTGGCTCGAGGTCGGCAACGGCTGCTTGTGCTGTTCCGTTAAGTAAGCATCCGAACCCCTCATGCGTGTTCACTTAACAATGCTGACGGCTGCAGAGACACTGGCGTCAACGCGATCGAGTCGCTGATGGAGAAGAAGGGTGCCTTCGACTACATCCTCCTCGAGACCACCGGCCTGGCGGACCCTGGCAACCTGGCGCCGCTCTTCTGGGTCGATGACGGCCTCGGCAGCACCATCTACCTCGACGGCATCGTCACTCTCGTCGACGCAAAGAACATTCTCCGCAGTCTCGACGATCCGTCTGGCAAGATCGAAGTCGACGAGGAGCACGAGCACGACCACAGCAGCAGCCCGCTCATGACGACAGCTCACATGCAAATCTCCCACGCCGACGTCATCGTCATCAACAAGGCAGATCTTGTCACACCGGATGAGCTGCAACAGGTCAGGGACAGGATCGAGTCCATCAATGGCCTCGCCAAGATTCACGTCACGCAGAAGAGCAAGGTGCCGCAGCTTGAGGGCGTTCTGCTGGACCTGCACGCCTACGATGAGCTTGCCGAGCTCGACTTCAGCCGCAAAGGCCACAGCCACCTAGACCCTGTACGTATTTCTCCTTGCTGGGCGATGTGCCTGCAACGCTGACATTTCCTAGGCCATCTCCACCGTCTCCATACCGGTTCCTGTTTTGTCGCCCAGCCAAGAGGCAAAAGTGGACAAATGGCTGCGAAGTGTGCTCTGGGATCACGAGCTGCCAGGGGAAGTGAGGACCATTGAGACGCACCGCTCGAAAGGGCGGTTGGTATTCGACGACGGAAAAGTCAAGATGATACAGGGCGTCCGGGAAATCTTTGAGATTCTGGAGGCGCCTGAGCAGTCAGCGCTAGATGGGCCAAAGCAAGGCAAGATTATTCTCATCGGGCGCCACCTGCAAGGCATCGATTTTGAGAAAAGCCTCAAATCTGTTTTACTCTCTTAGGATTACTTTGACTGGAAATAAATGAAAACAAAGTCAGCCATGAGAAATCAAGCGTTTGCTTGTAGTGCTTGCCGGGAATGGAGGGAAAGTCAACAGTAGCTTCCCCTTTGTATAAGGTGAGTCGTGAGAGCCAACGGCGCTCACGCATCTTGCCCAGGCACACGTCTTGAAGGATACCATTTATTACTTCGTATTTGTTTTGCGAGGGAAATGATCAGCGAAGAGAAAGACATCAGACTAATAGCGACGATTATGGCTGGGCCTCACCTAAATCCCTCGTACCTAAATGCTGTGCTCCTCACCGAACACCGAAGCAGCCGGATCCAGACCGAGGGGTGTCTGTGCACAGGCCATCACATCGGATCCATCTTTGACCGTATCTCCGTGTTTAGCGTTTGCCCAGTTGCAGGCTGTGGAGTGCATGTCAGGCGGCCGGGGGGGTTAACTTGTGGACAACGCCAACCTCGAACCGCCTAAGCAGAGAAACCTCCAACGATCATAGCTTCGTTTGAAGGCAAAAACCGTACGAACCCTCAACAACGACGCCACCCGACACACAAACCCTCTTTATCGCCAACTCGAACTTCGACGCAACGACGCGACACACCCTTGCGACACCAGTCCTCGTTAGCTCCCATCATGAATAGACCAGGTAAGGCTTGCATACTTTGCCGTCGTCCGCCCTTGAGCCTCCCGCAACGCAACCACCGCACCCCGCCGATTGCCCGTCCCTAGACGCTGCCGACATGGGCATCTCGCGACTCAATGCGACCTTGTCTTTCATGGTCCCGTCCATTGAGTCGCCTTTATCGGTTGTGCGACGGCGCCTCGGCCCTGTTTGCTTGCTTCGCCAGAGCCTGACCTTGTGACGCCTCGCACCACCTCCGTGCCGAACCGGACCTCTGTTCCCTACCGCCCTGGCCGCAACATGACCTCCGACCTCGAGCGACCGCGCCTTTTCCTGGCTCATGCGATCGGAAAACGTCTCGACTGTCATATCCGCCACTGACCTGTTCATCCCTATGAACGTCTTTGTCGATCGAACCCTCGACCTCCTCGTTTCCCTCGGCGCCATGTCCTTCAGCACGTCTTCTGTACTTTGCGCTGACGATGATCGTATAGTAGGCGCAGTACCACAATCGATTCGAGGGATGCCTGGTTTCGGTGGCCAGCAACCACAGCAGCAGCAGCAGCAACAGCAGGGACGTTCTGTGTCGAACCGATTACCGAACGGGAAGCTGGGTAAGGATGCCTCGATAGATGAGATTATGGGACGAGACCGTTTCGCAGCGTGTATTAACGCTCTGTTTCTGTCAGCAGGCAGCAATGGGTCTGGTTGGGCCTTTGGCAACGGCATGCCCATGGGAGGAGCGACTCTTCAGAACCCATCACGGCAACTGGGCGGCAACGTTAGCTTCGCGCAAAGCTTGGGCGGGTCGTCGCAACCGTCAACACCACTGGATCCTTCGTAGGTGCTGCTTTCCTTCGTCTTTTTCTTTGCGCTTTAGAGCTCCTGCCACCCCCACCGCCGGAAGGTGCATGCCGCACACACTGCACCAGCTCTAGGTTCCGCCCGCGCTCCCATCATCACACTCGCCATGGTCTCCGCGCGTAAACGCAGGCTTTTCAAGAAGCGCAACAAGCCGGGAGCAGTTCTTAAGATCATGGCAGCGCCGTCACCTACTCCGTCGTCTGGAAGGCCCAGAAAGGGCTATGCAGAGGCTTTGAAAGGAGACCGCCCGGGCGAAAGTTCGAAAGAGTACCTACTCATTGTCCCTCCCGTTATGTTTTCCCTTCTACTTCTGCTATGAGAAGGATACCCACATCCGGCCTTTCACTGTCTTGTTGATCTTTCTTTGCTAACCTGAGACTAGCGAATTCCCCTCCCTCTCGAACAACGCTCAACTCGGAAATGCCAACCAATCCTCTATGTGGGCAACGGCGGGCTCGCGGGCTGTGAGTGGGCAGGTGCCTCGAAACACGTCTACGCCACTATCTTCGCAGGGGCCTCAGGAAGACCTGTACAACTCGACATCTTCATCTCGAGGAAATGGTGGGTTCCGCTTCGGCGCCCAAGGAACGGTGGGCCAGCCTTCGCAAAACTCTGCGACGCCCGCGGATGACTTTCCACCACTGAATCGCAACGCAAACGGCGAGATTGGCGGGGAGCGGGGGGCCGGCCTCATGTCGTCTCTGGGGTTCGGGGCTCAAGCCCCCAGTGCCGCACCTTCCATACCAGGTAGTCGGGCTGCCGGCAACGGTCTGTTGAACGCCCTCTCGGCGAACAACAGAAGCTCAGACGCCCAGTCGCCGCCGCAGGCCAACGCTACCACTGCTGGATCCGCAGATGAAGAAAGGAAAGCTAGCCTGGGTGTGGGCATGTCCGCACCAACGGAATCGCCGTCTCAAGATGCAAGCAACTCGCACAGCCTGGCAGGACTCGACGCGGCAGCACATAACGGCAAGGCCAGAGAGACGGAGGACGGAGAGGCATCCGACGCGCAGGACCCGTTAGCTGGCATGGCCCCTATCGACAAGTTTGGAATCAAGGGCCTGCGAACCATGATGAACAACAACCCAAGCTACGCTGCGTTGATGCATGGCATGGATCCCAATGACCTAGGCCTCAACGTGAACTCGCCTGAGTAAGCAACAAATTTCTGATGTTGATTGTTGACTTCTACTGACGCGTGGCAGCCTCATCTCCACGCAGCAATACTCACTGTTCGACGACACACCGCCACGGCCCGTGGTGCCCAGTCACCGGCTGCCCGAGTGCTATCAGGTCACGAACGTGCAGCCGATAGAGACCAAGATTCAGAGTTTCAACGAAGAGACGCTTTTCTGGATCTTCTACAGCTGCCCCCAGGATGTGAAGCAGCAGCTCGCCGCATTTGAGCTGTGAGTTGTTAAAACCCTCTTTCCCTAACAAAGCGATGCTAACCTGCGGTAGGCACTCTCGCAACTGGAGGTGGCACAAGAAGCTGCACATCTGGCTCACAAAGGACGAAACCATGACGCCTCAAACGATCAGTCCTACCCATGAGCAAGGCTACTACGTCATCTGGGATATCCGCAACTGGCGGAAAGAGCGGGTGCGTCTTCAACCAATTTGACTCCACGAAGCCGAACAGAACGAGACTGACACATGGCACAGAGAGAGTTGACCTTGCATTACGAGGATCTGGAGACCTCGTTGGGAAGGCCACCGGCGGCGTAAATGGCGTTCAGGACATTGCTTTACCCTCGCACCAGCAGATGCAGACTCGGAGAAGTCACATGTGGCCTGGGTTGACATTTTTTTTCGGTTCTCGACGGCACGGGAGCTGTACTCGTATCCTCAGGGACTTGGGAGCTGCTTGCTTCAGGGGCGAAGCTGGTATGGCAGAGGGGGGGCAAAGGGATCGCCTGGTTGGTTTTGCAAGTCGTATTGCTACTATCGGTACACGAATGCATCATTACCATGCTGGCCATTGGCTGGTGACGGAATCGCATTCTCATTTTGATCCCACGACTGCCGTAGACATTGACAAGTGGTGATATATCTGGTCGTGTGAGCCATGTATGATGCCAAGACGCATGATTGGGCAGGGGTGGGCGATGAGGGGGACTGGAAGATTCCGACTCGGGTTCCGCAACTGGCGGCGGGCTTACCCCAACTTGGGTGAAGCGACCATCTCCACAATCAACCCTGCTACCTGCGTGCTGCGTGCTGCGTGCTGCGTGCTACCTACTCTCTCTAAATCATCAATAGAGCGAGTGGCTTTTCGCTCATCTCTCATCGGCTGTTCGACTTTTTGGATTCTCCGAGTCGATTTGTATCGCGGCGCAGAAACATAAACGCCGGCTGCGATCAGAACCCGACAGCGAGCACGAGGCAACACCCAAGCGTGGTGACGTGGTCTCTCTCTCTTTCTCTCGCGCGCACTCGTGCTGCTGCAGCCAAACTCTCCGAATTCCGGCCCATCACCACCCCAGCCGCACGCACTCTGCTCTCCGACGGCGCATCACACGAAACAGGCACCATGGCCAAAGACGACAGCCAGACGATTTCGGTCCCGTACCTCCTCATCCTCCTCGTCCTCGCAGCCGCCATCCTCCGCCTGCTCTTCTTCTCGAACTCGTCAGGCGGCACCCCGCCCGCGGGTCGGCACAACCCGCTCAACGTCCTGCGGGCGCGCGAGGCGGCCGTCGAGCGCATACAGCAAATGTTCCCGCAGGTCGAGCGACGGACCATCCTGTGGGACCTGCAGCGTAACGGAGGCAACGTGCAGACGACGAGCGAGAGGATCCTGGCTGGACGCATCGAGACGGTGAGCTCCTTCTTCTTCTTCTTCTTTTTGCCGCCTCTCCTTCTCTTTCCTGCTCGAAGAGCTACGGTGTAGACACTGGATACGCATCAGACATTAGGGAGAGGGGTGAAGCCGAGAATGTTCCGCGCTAACGTTTGTGTCATAGCCTCCCATCACCTTCCAGCCTCCCCCTCCCGCCGGCGCGCCGGCCACGGGCTCTGGCAGCACGAACGCCGCAGCAGCGGCGCTGAAGCAGGCGGGCAAGCCGACGCAGCCGGACCTCATCACGCGCTACAAGCTGGAGGGCAAGATCGGGGCGGCCGAGGAGGAGCAGAAGAGGCAGCAGGACCGGACGGGGAAGGCGTGGAGCTCCGATCGCGACGAGCGGCAGGCGGCGCTGCAGAGGCGGCGCGACGACATGATCTTACAGGCCAGGAAGAAGATGGAGGCCAAGATTGCGGCGGAGAAGGCTGGTGCGGCGCCGGCTTGAGCTGTTGCGCGTTCTCCTGCAGTGGAGGGGCAGCTTGGACAGGGTTCAGGCAGGGCTGAACAACAGGGAGGGGAGGAGGACGGAGTGCGGAGTAGAATACGGGAGACGAGACTGCTTCGGGGTTTCTGTGTACATGTCGGCCCAAGTTGTACACTGAAAGAACGACGTATATTCATGGGGTTCGTGATGTATCGCCTCTGCTGCTATGAGCTCGGTGCGTGGAAGCCAGGCAAAGCGTAGAGCCCCCATTTCTGGTGTGCCGTGAGAAGATGATATGAGATACATAGCTATGGCGGTAAGATGTGCTGGACAAGATATAGTAGCACGGCAAGAATACCTGCCCTTCTGATCGTGCCTCCTCGGAGACTAGAAACATCAAGCCCGAATTTATGACTTCTCATCGTCACCTTTCTACAGCACGCCTCGAACCCGACGTTTCGGCACCCCCCCTTGCCATTGCTATCTCACCATGCCATATAGATCGGACAGGGGAGACTCACGAGCTGTCAGCCGAGTTCCGTGGGCTAGCCCTCTCCGTCCTCGCGTCGACCCAGCCAAGTTTGCACAGCATACGGTTATGACAACTCTTTTATTCTAGACAGCGTGCATCTGGACCTACTCCCTGTACATGTACATCTGGACGATGGCATTGGGAGGCTTGATGATGCACAGGCCATAATCTCGCGTATCTAGACCTGATAAGGTACCTAGGTACATCAGTACAATAAGCACGTTTCGTGCTAAGGCCCCGCCACCCCAACACTTTTTGCAACGCTTCCCACTTTCACATGCTTTCATGCCCACCGTCTTTGCTGCTGTGAGGTAACGCCTCTTGCTATCCTGGACGCAGGGCTGGATGCATGGCAGAGGTGGCAGGGTCGGTGGGTTTCGTAAAGTCTACGTGAAATCCCGGTTCTGGGCATTTGGCTTTTTTTTTTTTTTGGTACAATTGTCTCACTCCCCTCGTGGACTCCTGCATCTCGAACCCCTCCTCCTCTTTGCGTGACGCTTTTTTGTCCACGGATATTGCTACGTGACCATTGAACAACGGCCGCCGCGGAACGTCACCCCGTTCTCTTGTAGCGTGGTACTCGTGGCTCTCTGACATACCTCCTACACCCATTTGACTTTGCTGTCATCGGCGGGCGCCCGATTGCTGTTCGTCATTCGCGTCAAGACCATGGCGTCACTGCGTCATTGGACCCCCGTCTTCGAGGATGTCAAGATGGAGCACACAACCGTCTCGTCGACAGTCTTGTCCCTGCTCCCGACGTCACTGCAATCACGGTTGCCGCCCCTGCGCTCCGTCCAGAAAAGCATGCAGACCTGCCAGACCAGCGTGACGAACAGGGCGTCGTCCCGAGAGCCGGTCACACCAACGCCCACGCCCCGAGGCTCCCCCAAGAAGCAGAGCCTCATCACGGACAGCCCCTCTCGAATCTCCTGCGCCTCTACCTTGCTGGACGATGAAGCCCTCGACTCGAGCCCCCCAAGCCCTCCGTCGGGCGTTCACTGGCGGTATGCCTTGCAGGGTATGTTTCTCATCGTGGCCCGCCCTTCCTTGCACCCCTCTTGCCAAGGACTAACAACGGCACAGGCCTCTCCCTTCTCTCGGTGGCGCAAGATGAAGCCCGCCAGCCGCTCGCCAGCGCCGAGTTTGAGCGCAAAGCATTCCTCGACGGCGCAGAGTACATCCTGAAAGCCCTGCCTGCGGACCTCAGCCCGCTGGAGCTCGACCGCCTGCGCACGTCGACACCCCGCGCCCTCGTCCTGGGCCGGCAAGGATGCCCGCAAGGATGCAACACCTCGATGCCGAGCGCACAGTGTCACTGGCCGTGCGGCCATGCGGCGGCGTCGTCGTCGTCGGCACGGCCCCGGAGGTCGCTGCTGCACCGGTGGGTGCAGGCGGCGGTGGTGCAGATGTTCATCCTCGCGCATCTGGCGCTGCCGTACGTGGTGCTGCTCGCGCGGCTGGCGGCGCGGGCGGAGCGTGATTACAACATATCACACATTTTGGCGAGCGTCGGGTGGGGGCTCGTCTACTCCATTGGGGCGCAGGGGGTCAAGGCGACGGGCACGCTCTGCGGTATCGGGGACGGCAGGGTCGGACAGGCCATTGCGGAGGCGGTGGCTTGGACGGTCGAGGGTGTGTCGGGGGGCCTGAGTGAGGGTGTCAGGCAGGGCATGGTGATCATGGGTGCCTCGCGGCAGTAGATAGATAGAGTGGTGCATTTTTGGGGGGCTGAGGGGCGTTCGGGCTACCGAGACGGGCTACCGAGACGGGAACGCGTGCTGTTCTGTATTTCGTCTCTGGCGTTCATGATTGACAGATAGGCTATGCTAGGCTACCTTGGCTAGGTAAGGTGTAGGTCCCTGGCAGTGCCCGGGAAGGTATCTTGGTGTGGTTCGTTTTGAGAAATGATAAGAATTTCGGACAAAACGATAAGAGACATGGCTAGCTCCGACTTTCATTTGAGGCGTGCAAGACATGGGACCCGGCGGTGGCGCTGGAGAAATCATCGGATGCCTGTGGTGTGTGGTGGTGGTGGGAGTGAATGGTGGTGTGTGGTGGTGGATGGCTGCTTCTGTGGGGGGATTTGACAGCTTCCATGAGGGTGACTGGCGCCTGCTGGCACTGAGTCCGCGTGGGGTGGCAGGTGCAACCCTTTCCCGTTCCCGGGGTAGAAGGAGCTTATCATGCAGCTGCACTATTCGTCGAATCCAGGACGCCACAAATGTTCACAGTCGCAGGACCAACAAGGCAATAGTAGCCTACGCGCACACACACCACCTCCTACCTACCCATTGCTAGGTAGGTACCTACCTACCTACGTGGGGATACTAACCTAACAATACCACTACCTTAAAGTGGAGGTTTTTTTAGGGACCGAAGGCCAATTTTGCTGGGGGCCGGGGGGGCGAACAACTCCCCCCCCCGCCGGGAAAGATGGGGATCACCCCGTCGGGGGATGAGGGAGAGGGAACGACACCCCCCCAAACCCCCCCGGGGGGGGCCTACCGCACGGCAGGGGTGTGTGTGTTGGAAGGAAAAAATGGGGGGCGG